AGCATACACATAGCCTTATAGCCATAGTACATGCATAGCCATATAGCGTTAGTACATGCACAGCCGTATAGCCATAGTATATGCATAGCCTTATAGCATTAGTACATGCACTGCCGTATAGCCATACTATATGCATAGCCTTATAAGCATTAGTACATGCACAGCCGTATAGCCATAGCATACGCATAGCCTTATAGCATTAGTACATGCACAGCCTTATAGACCATAGCAAATGCTTAGCCTTATAGCATTAGTAATTTAGTACATGCACAGCCTTTTACCCACAGTACATGCATAGCCTTATACTAGGCTTATAGCATAAGTACATGCACAGCCTTATAGCCATAGTACATGCATATGCAAAGAACTCAGTTCCAAACTCGCACTGACATAGTCAAGGATCGTGCTTTTTGGTTAACTCCAGATTCATGGGTCAAGACTCAAAAGTCACGCCTCCTGCTGCATAAAAAAGGTACAGTGTCAGGGGCCAAAAGAGGCAACCCGTGCCCCCACAAAGTGGTAGTTGACTTCAGGAAAATCAGGAGTCGGGATGAATGCGGGAATAACAGTCAAAGAGAGTCGAAGATTTCTCAGGAGTCGGCCACAGCAACAAATCTGATGCACATCAAAGGCTGTCGGCATTGTTCCGGACGTATCCAAGGCCCAATGGGTCCAGGCACACATTGGCTGAACAGCAAATCTGGGCCATCCAAAATGAAGAAATCCCGGCCGCAGGACGAGGCAAATTGAAGCAGGCCTAGGCCGTTCACCACTACAAAAGAGTTGCCTGGCCCAGTCAGCTCGTTCACTCTGCCCTGTGCTGCTGGAGGCTGGACCGCTGCTCCACTTAGCGCTCTCGAGGAGGCAGGAGAGGCTGGCGCCAGGGAAGAAGAAGACAGCGCACCCAGCAGGAGACAACGGAGAGACAATAGCCATCGCTATAGTATAGCGGAAGAGTGACGAAGAGGGTGATCAGAACTTGGAGAGACAGAGACAGAGACAGAGACAGAGACACAGACAGACAGACACACACACACACACACACACACACACACACACACACACACACACACACACACACACACACACACACACAGAGAGAGAGAGAGAGAGAGAGAGAGA